TCCTATTGTCCTTCTTTGAGTTGGCTGAATCGAATGTGAACATGCCTGGAGCAGAGCTACTGTGTTAGAAACAGTGATGAGGAAACTCTGAAGCCATCTTGGAGAGGCATGGTAAGGAGTGGGCTGTCCCCAAAGACTCTGCAAAGGAGGTGTTACAAATGCTACTAACTCTGTTTTATGATTATTATCAATAATCGAAACAGCTGGCATTTATATAGACTTCTATGATGATTTCAAAGAACTTTGTAAATATTGTCTCATTTGATCCTTAGCATACTCCTGACAAGTAGGTGCTATCATTAACCCCATTTTACAGAAGAGGAAGCTGAGGCTGAAAAGGTTTCAGTGCTTGCCCTTGATCAGGCAGTCAGTCAAGAAGTCTTCAAACACTTGCCATGTGCCAATCACTGTGCTAAGCTGTAAGGACATGAAGAAAATGGGAAAAGAGGGGCCCGCCCTCAGGTGCTCACATTTCAGTGGAAAAGATAACAGGCAAATTACTTTTATTATACAAAAAAATAGAGACATTGTATGAAAATGGAAGGGAATCACAGAAGGAAGACACTAACAATGGAGGGTGAAAGGTGAACTGGGAAAGAAGGTGAGATTTGTGCAGAGTTGGAGGAAGCTAGGAGGTGATGAGGAAGGAGAACATTCCAGCTATGAAGGACATCTAGCAAAAAGGCATGAAGTCGGGAGATGGGTATATGGAAGGTAGGAAGGTTCAAGGTAGCTAGAAAGCTTTAATGAGAAACAGGATTTTTTGATTTCCTTGTGGAAGTGATAGGGAGACACTGGAACATACTGAGTGGAGGGGTGACATGTTCAGAACTGAGCTTTAGGAAAATCCCTTTGGGAGATGAGTGGAGGATGGATTGGAGGGGGTAACTACCTGACAAAGCACTCAAAAGACTACTGCAACAGTCCAGGTGTGAGGTGATAAAGGCCCTCACCAGACGGGCAGCTGGGCATGGAGATAAAGGGAAATGTACAAGAGATGTGAAGGTAGAATCAACAGACCTTGGCAACACATGGGACTGTGGGGTGCATTTGAGTGAGGAGTTGGGGGGCACATGGAGGCTGCAAGCCTGGGTTACAGGGAGTACACTGAGACCCTCAATAATATTAGAGAAATTTAAAGATTTTGGGAGGAAGAAAGATGTGTTCTTTTTTGAATATGCTTATTTTTGAGGTATCCGTGGGGGCCTCGCTTTTGAGATGTTCAAAAAGCAGTGAACTAAGTCATGTGAACTGAGCAATCCTTGACCCCCCCATCACACCTCTTCTCTCAGAGGAGTACATGGGTGGCACCAAGGTCTCTGCCCTCTCCCCCGCCCTCATTCCATTTAAGGAGACCAAACCAGATTAGGGTGAGTCCTGGTCCCCAGACAAGTCTCCTCAGGGGACCAAAGGTCTTATGCCTCGAATTCTCCAGTGTCCCCATGGAAGGGCTTCTTACAATCTGAGACTTTTGTACTCTGGACCTCATCACCCTAGTTCCCAAGGCTTAAATCCATGAGGTGCCAATCCACCAGTGAGAAGGGCAGTAGTGGCAGCTCCCACAATGTGGCCCCAGTACTGAATGGAACCATGCTGATCTATACCCCACTTGAAAAACAGCTCCTTCCTTGCTCTTTGACCCTAGTGGGAACTGACAGGCTCACTGGAGACAATCCAGGCACTATCTGCCCAGAAATTCCAATCATTCAGAATGAGTGCTGAGTAATGCCAAATCCCTCAAGGCATGTGGAACCCAAGAATCATCCATCATCAAATGGAAGTGATATAGTCAGAGCTAAGACAGGCCCAGCCCAAGGAGAGCTAGCCACCTACAAGAGACTCTTGCTTAGCAATAGGCTGCCACAGAAGCTAGTCTTTGTCGACCTGCAGTGCAATACCCTCTTGCAACCTGGGGCCCTTGGTTTGCTGAACTTCCAGAATCAGGAGATGCCTGGTTCTCAGATGGCACAGGCCTCCTTAAACATGGTCAAACTCATTGGAATGCTGCAGTAGTACAGTCAGCAGCTAGGTCCATCTACTGCTGAAGTAGAAATGAAATGCTGTCCTTGTGGCTGTACAAACATTCCCTTTCAGCTCTAAGCCTAGACTAGCTGCTGTTAGACAGGGCTGGTAGTCTTAAGGCTTAATTATTCCCAGTTGTAATAAGAATGGGTTGATGAAACTGTCCCACATGCTTGCCAGTGGGTCACAGTTCTAATTCCACCTTCCTGAGTGGACCTTCTTGGTTACTACTAAGGGACCTCTCTTTTGCTACAGGTCTATATTCCCATGTAACTCTATCTCTGGCTGAGTTGCTGTTCATCTGTCCTGTCCTCCTATGCTCCTGTTTGGTTATGAGAGTCAACAAAACATTTTCACCCACTCCCTTGTTGACTGCAATATGCAATGCAAAGAATCACCCAAAGTCTACTCTAAGTTGGCATGACTCCAACCTTCCACCTCCCTTCCTGGCCATTGGCTCTCTTCTCACAAAATCTCATCATTTCTCACCTGGACTATTTCAATAGCCTCCTAATTGGACTTTCTTTATCTGGATTTTCCCATGGCCCAGGCAATCAATCTGTTCAACAAAGTCTGTTGGCTCCCCAACATATCTAAGATCAAACACAGACACCTCAGTGTCATTTAAAGCCCTTGCAACTCTGGTTACATCTAGCTTTTATAGTCTTATTATGTACTACTCAATAATAATACCGCTAATCGGCAGATATTTATTGTCTACAATGTGCCAGGCACTGTGCTAAGGTCTGGGAATACAAAAAGAGGCAAAAGACTATTCCTGCCCTCAAGGAGCTCCACCTCTAAGGGGGCAGACAGCAAACCAATACATACAAGCAAATTAAAAACAGAATAAATAGGAAATAATTACCCAAGAGAAGACACTAGAATTAAGAGGGATTAGGAAAGGCTTTTTATAGAACATGGGATTTTAGTTGGGACTTAATGAAAGCCAGGGAACTGAGTAGGCAGAGATGAGAAAGAAGAACATTTCAAGCATGGGAAACACCAAGAGAAAATGTTGGGAGCTGAGAGATGGAGTGTCTTGTTTATGCAATAATCAGGAGGCCAGTGTCACCGGTTCAAAGACTAAGGTGCAAGAATACTGTAAAGGCAGGAGGGGGCTATTCCCCTTTTGGAGCTCTATTCAGCAAATGTTGCCTGCTTACTGTACCTCATATGTGACACTTTATTTCTGATCTATGTATCATTGCAAAGGCTGTCCCCTGTGACAGGTACAAAGTAGGCACTTAATAAATGCTTGTTGACCAATTAATTGACATTGAGGAACATAGCACAGCTTTTCAGTGACATCTTGTGTTCAAACTGGATATTGAAGTTAACTTAAAAGTTTAGGACAAGGAAACACACTTCAAATGTCCTCATTTAATGACATCAATTAATTTCATCATTTCATGGTTGGTTACTTTGGTTACTTTAAGGCTGCTATCTTGTGTCCAACTCCTTATATTACACTCAGATGAATTCTAGAGTCAACTTTTATTGAATTTTTAACTTGTGGGGCAGTTTAGTCCTGGTTAAGGGGAAAAGAATGGAGCTAAAAGAAATCATGATTTTTTTTCAGCCAAAGACAAGGTTTATTAAAGATCCACCACGTTAGCCAGACTCTTAAGGAATTTGAACGTCTGTGAGCTATTGGCTAGATTGTAAAAATCTGAGCAGTGTCTAGATTATGAAAATCAGAGCATCTTAATGGAGACAAGATGGACCTTATGTACAGAAAGAGTATGGGAGGGATCTAGGAGTGGCCAAGTAGTCTATGAGGCAATAGAACTCTAAGGACCAGGACCATGTGGTCAAGGGATAATGGAGCCCAGATAAGATTAAGGGTGGGAAGTGGCCTGGGGCCATAGGGAGGTAAAGCTAGGTTGAGAGAAACAGAGAATTGGGATATTGGGTGTAGCCACAATGAAAGGTCAGTTGATGGGATTATAGCCTCAGGTGAATGCCAGAGATTTGGCCATGTGGGAAAGTCCTGGAGTCTAGATCCCATCCTTATCATTACCCCCTCAAACGAAGGGGAGCCAAATTCTTTTGGAGTAACTGGCAAAGGTCTCAGATTCTGAAACTGCTTCCTGCTGGCAAGGAGCATAGAGCTGGCCCTGCCTCGATGGGGTCCCAAAGAGGAGGTTGACTGGAACTGAGCACAGGCTGCATCCAGGGAACAATGGGGAAACATTGCCTGGTACCTGCTGTTTGCTACCAACTGTAGGTGAATGGGCTGTAGTTTGGAAGACACAAATCTGACAGAAAAGACTGCAGGGTCCAAATGACAGGATAAAATATCGTTAGCTCTGTTTGATTCAGATAACTCAGTTTTCCAACCATGCTGTATCAAATCCACCTTATAGCCAGACTCAGGAATAGCCAGGTAGGTAACATTCCTTTTCAAAGGAACATAATGGGGAAACTGAGCCAGGAGGATCCCATCTTAGACTAATGCTAAAATTGTCCTCTCAGCTTTTTCCCAATGCTGACTTCCCACCAGTATCATATTCTCTCGGAGTAGCTCGTGGCATTTCTCAGATGGTGGATTATTTATTTATCGATGGATTATTATGATCCATTAGACAACTCAAAATAAAACCATGAGTTTTTTACCTCAAACAGCAAGTTTCACTAATCACAGCTTAGGAAAAACTTTTCCAGGATTTATATCTCAAATTTAAATTTGTCATGGTATAAAAAGCCAATCATTAAAGATTATTTCTATATAATTTCTATATACTTGCAAATTCTCAGCAAGACAAAACCCAAACAAGCTTTTTGGGAAGTTTACACATTAAAAAAAAAATCAATAATAGCCAAAATATTTTGGCAGTAACCAGATTATGAAAAGTTGCTTCACATAATTTCCTGATGCCAAACAATTAGCTCAACTTTCTCCCACACTTCTGGGGGATCTCCTTTTCTAATTGGTTGACTTTCATAGTCTTCTTGTTTTTCTTGGGTTACTCCTATTTTTTTTTTTAGTTTTTCCTCCATCTCTCTCATTTGATTTTTTTTTTATTGGGGTGCTAGGTAAAGCTTTCTGACCAGTAGCCCAGACTCCACCACTGTTCCTTCTCTTTGGTCTGTCTAGGACAGTGACTATATATTAGGGAAAACAAAATTGTGGTGACAGACAGGAAATGAGGTCCAGGAGGTTACACTAGGCTGGGCTGGGTTAAGCAAGGGGAAAGCCCAGCTTCATGACTGAAAGAGACAGGCAGGCAACCACCTGGACAGGTCATGTGACACCCTCCCCGTTTCCCTCCCTCCCCCCTTCTGGTATCCACAGTGACTATTCTGAGCAACCCCCTCTGGAAGTTGCAGTCTTTGCCTTTTATCCCCAACAAACTGCTCCAGTGGAAATGTCCATCAGTTTTTTGCCAGAGAACCATGCTCCAGGGCTCTCCTGCATCAGTACCTTGGGGTTGGCCCTAGGCAAGGGATGAAAATGGTCCTTGGTACCAGGATGCCAAGAAGGTTGCAAACAACAGCCCACTCCCACCCTGGGGTCTGAGTGTCCTTGGTTCTTGCTTCAGGCAGGATGCTGTTGGGGCTGGGGGAGATGTGATGCCTCTTTATCCCAGTGATGGGGTGGGGGGCATCTAGGCCCTTGAGCTCCCCTGCGCATCAGTCTCTATTTTAGATGAACTATCAGAGTCTATTACAGCACTGTGCTCCTGATGTTTCTGCTGCACCTTCCGACGAATTGCCCGGAGGCGAATCAAGAGAAACTCGTAGTCAAAGCAGCCTCGCTTCTCCCCAAAAGGTTCCTCCATTTGAAGGTCTTGGAGGCGTAGTCGGTCTTTGCATGCCACCTCATAGATGTCATAATACTCCAGAAAGGACTTCTCCATCATATCCCTCAGGGGCTCAGGGCAGAGATATTTTCCCTCCAGCATGTCACAGACTGCCACTCTGAGGGTCTCGTGCCGGATATACTCATTGTACTTTTTGCTGTCTCCTGGGTGTTTCTCCTGCTCAAAGCCAGGCTCATTGTGATAGGGGTTTTCATTCATTAATGACTGGATGGAGATCAGCACGGAGGAGAGGCTCTGGGCTGGGCTCCAGGCAGGGCCATCCCAAGTCCCCAGAATACTCAGGCAGACTTTCCCACTGCTGTAGAAGTTGGGGTTAAACCTCACCCTGTTATTGCCCGTGGTCATCAGTTTGACCCTCGGTGGGCGGATGGGATAATCTGGAGGACAGCGAACCAGGAACAAGAAGAAACCCCCTTCATAAGGAGTGTCTAACGGGCCCGTGATCAATGCATGGATCTTAGTCATGTCCAGGGGATCAGACACAACAAACATGCCGGGGGGCGGCTCCTTATAGAGGGCCGTGATGTCCCGCTTGATCCGCAGCAGGCACTGCGGCCCCGGGCGCTCGCTGTCCCAGTCCGAGCTCCGGGTCGGGTCCCAGATGGCCGGGGGAATGAATGAGTCGTCCTCGTCGTCGTCGTCGGCAGCTGCCGAGGTGGACAGCCCAGGCAGCGGGGCCAGGCCTTCCCCTGACTCGCCAGAGCCTTCCGCCGCCACCCCCATCCACACGTCTGGTAGGATAGGCAAACCGAAGGATCCACTGCCACCACCACCCACGCCCCGGCCCGAGGTCCCCTCGCCCGAGGTCCCCTCACCCGAGGCCCCCTCGCCCGAGGCCCCCTCACCCTCACCTCTCTCACCCGAGGTCCCCTCACCCTCGGCCGTGGCAGTCGCCACCTCCGCTGTCAGAGTCTCCGCCATCGCTGCCACTTCGCTCCACTTCCGCTTGCGGGACTCCATGCCAACCAGTGCAGCCAGAGCGATCGGATTTTTAAAGTCTTTTGTAAGTTCTTCTACGAATTCTTTTTGGGCAGGTGACCATTTGACGTTACTCTTTGGGATAGGAGGGTTTTTTGTTTTGGGTTTTTTTTTTTTGCTTCAATATCCTCCTCTAAAGATGAACCCCGGTCTTCTCTATTCCCGCAATAGCTCTCTATGGTTGGATTCTTTCTCCTCTGCCTGTGAATTTTTGTAGTAATAGCTGCCTCTGGTCCCAGCCCTTCAGTTCTCTCCCCTGGCCTGGAACCAAAGCCAAACCTGCAGCCTCCTGTCACTGTCCACAGCCAGGGGCCTTCCGCCCCACTGCTTCTGTGCTCACCAGGTGGGCGTGGCCGTTTCCTTCTCGCCCGCTCCACTCACTGCGTCACCGCTGGGTGTGACCTTCCTTGTCAGCAGAGGTTCCTTTGATCTTCCTGGCTCAGACACCGTACTACCCTCACAGTTTCAGGGGTAAAGGTTCCTGTAGCTGGGCTGAGGCAGCCTCCCAAACCAGCTAACCCCAGGGCTTGTGGCTTGTTGTTTAAGCAGCTTGCAGCTTGATGTTAACACAGTTCCTAGCCTGGAGATGTTTAATCTTTGATGGGACCAAATCCATACTCGAACTGTTCTTCTGATCTTCTGGAATTGTCCCAGGAAGACTCCTGGTGTGCCTCTATTCTGATTTATTTTTACTGGCACTTTGTTTGCCCTTAGGTGCTAGTTTGTCTCTTTTGAGGGGAAAATCTTGAGAGCTTGGAATTTTCCGACCTACTCCTCCATCTTCCCAGAATCCTTCTCTTCTAATTCTAACTTTTAAGGAGGCATTTTTTCCCCTGTTAGCTTTTGTACATTATTTTCCGTTTGGCCAATTTTACTTTTTTTTAATTAATTTATTTTGATTTATCAACAATCGCTTCCATAAGCTTTTGAGTTTTAAATTTTTCTCCCCCTCCTCCCCCCCTCCCTTCCCAAGACAGTGCACAATCTGATATATACTACACATGTACATTCCTATTGAACATATTTTCACATTAGTGAAGTTGTAAGCAACAGTTAGAACCAATAGGAAGAACCACCAGACAGAAGAAACAAAACAAAACAGAAGAAAAAAAGAGCAAACAGTATGCACTGACCTGCATTCAAATTCCACAGTTCTTTCTTTAGATATGGATAGTATTTTCGGTCATGAGACCTTTGGAGATGTCTTAGATTCTTGCATTGTTGGGGAGGGTTAAGTTTATCAATATTAGCCATCACACAATGTGCCTGTTACTCTGTACAATGTTCTCCTGGTTCTGCTCACTTCATTCAGCATGAGTCCAAACAGGTCTTTCCAGGTTTTTCTGAAGTTCACCTGCTCATCATGTCTTATAGCACAATAGCATTCCATTACATTCATATACCACAACTTGTTCAGCCATTCCCCAATTGATGGGCATCATCTCAATTTCCCATTCTTTGCCACCTCAAGAACAGCTGCTATAAATATTTTTGCACATGTGGGTCCTTTTACCATTTGTATGATCTCTTTGGGATACAGCCCTAGAATTGCTATTGCTGGTTCAAAGGCTATGAACATTTTTATAGCCCTTTGCGCATAGTTCCACATTGCTCTTCAAAATGGTTGGATCATTTTACAACTCCACCAACAATATATTAGTGTTCCAATTTTCCCACATCTTCTCCAACATTTATCATTTTCCTGTTTCGTCATGTTGGTCAATCTGATAGGTGTGATGTGGTACCTCAGAGTCGTTTTGATTTGCATTTCTCTAATCAATAGTGATTTAGAGCATTTTTTCATATGACTATAGATGGCTTTAATTGCTTTATCTGAGAACTGCCTGTTCATATTCTTTGATCATTTATCAATTGGGGGATGATTCATGTTCTTATAAATTTGACTTAATTATGTATGTATTTTAGAAATGAGGCCCTTATCAGAGACACTGGTTGTAAACATTCTTTCCAATTTTTCTACTTCCTTTCCATTCATGGTTCTATTGACTGTGTTTGTGGACAAACTTTTAAATTTAATGTAACCAAAATTATCCATTTTGCATTTCATAACATTCTCTATCTACTGTTTAGTTAGGAATTCTTCTGTTCTCCATAAATCTGACAGGTAAATTATTCCTTACTCTTCCAGTTCGCTAATAGTGTCAACCTTTAAATCTAAATTATCAACTCATTTCAACTTTATTTTTGTATGTGGTATGAAATTTTGGTCTATGCCTAGATTCTTCCATACTTTTTTCTGGTTTTCCCAGAAATTTTTATCTAATAGTGAGTTCTTATTCCAGAAGCTGGGGATTTGGGGTTTTTATCAAATAGTAGATTACTGCAGTCATTGACTACTGTGTCTTGCATATCTGATGTATTCTACTGATCCACCACTCTATTTCTTAGCCAGTACCAAGTAGTTTTGATGATTGCTGCTTTAGAATACAATTTAAGCTCTGGAACAGCTAGGCCAACTTCCTCTGCATTTCTTTTGATGATCGTTTAAGATCAGTTGAGCCCCAATAAGGGCCAAAAACCTGCATTTATCTTTTTCTCTCTGAGTGAGCTAAGAACACCCCTTCCTGTGTCAGCAAATTCCAGGACCAGATGGAAGTGACCAGCATTATTCCTGTTTGTTATCACTAAGCCCAGGATGTCTGGGACCAGACACTCTCTTGAATAATGGAGCTCTTCTTATCTTGGTCCATAATTTCAATTGGCACTTTTACATTCTCCTGTTTTATTGTATTTACAACCTATTCAATTAAGAAAATTCCTTTCCCATGCTACATGTTAAAAAAAAAAACAACATATGGAGGCTGTGTTTTTTGTAACACATGCATCCTGAATCTGATCACTCTAACCTGTATACAACCTCTTTCATTTTGCTTAATCTTCAAGTCAGAATTACATTCTGGCTTACATGCCGACATGATTTGATAGCTGAAAAGGGAATAAACTATATAATCATGTATCACCTAACTTGTTTCCCATCATTAACCAAACTTTCAGGTCAACACTTTCAATTACTTCTTTTGATATTCTGGACCTTTTGTTATTCCAAATTAATCTTATTATTTTTTTTCCTTCTTTTTTTAATTTTTTTTTGTGTGTTTTTTCCATATGCTTTTGAGTTGAAAATTTTTCTCCCTTTTCCTCCCTCCCACCCTCCCCAAGACAGCACACACAATCTGACATATGCTTTACATTTACATACCCATTAAACATATTTTCGCATTAGTGAAGTTGTAAGTATAAATTAAAACCAATATAAGGAACCATCAGAAAGATGAAACAAAACTCAACAGAAGGTAAAAATAAGTGATAACGATTCGACTTCCATAGTTATTTCTTTGGATGTGGACAGCATTTTCCATCCTGAGGTCTCTGGAGATGTCTTAGATCCTCGTAATGCTGAGAAGGGTTCAGTTTCACATTCTTAGTCATTGCATAACATGGATGTTATTGTGTACAAAGCCCTCTTGGTTCTGCTCACTTCACTCAGCATCAGACCATATAAGTCTTTCCAGGTTTTTCTGAAGTCAGCATGTTCATCATTTCTTATTAGCACAATAGTATTCCATTACATTCATATACCACAACTTGCTCAGCCATTCCCCAATTGATGGTCATCCTCTCAATTTCCAATTCTTTGCCATCACAAAAAGAGCTGCTATAAATATTTTTGCACATGTGGGTCCTTTTACCATTTGTATTATCTCTTTAGGATACAGCCCTAGAATTGCTATTGCTGGTTCAAAGGCTATGAACATTTTTATAGCCCTTTGGGCATAGTTCCAAATTGTTCTCCAAAATGGTTGGATCATTTCACAACTCCACCAACAATGTATTACTGTTCCAATTTTCCCACATCTTCTCCAACATTTATCATTTTCCTCTTTCATTATGTTGGTCAATCTGATAGGTGTGATGTGGTACCTCAGAGTTGTTTTTATTTGCATTTCTCTAATCAATAACGAATTAGAGCATTTTTTCATATGACTATAGATGGCTTTAATTTCTTCATCTGAGAAGTATCTGTTCATATCCTTTGACCATTGATCAATTGGGGAATGGCTTGTGTTCTTATAAATTTGTCTTAATTTTCTATATATTTTAGAAGTGAGGCCTTTATCAGAGAGACTGGTTGTAAAAATTCTTTCCCAATTTTCTACCTTCCTTCTGATCTTAGTTGCATTGGCTTTGTTTGTGCAAAAACTTTTCAATTTAGTGTAATCAAAATGATCCATTTTGCTTTTCATAATGTTCTCTATCTCCTGTTTGGTCATGAATTCTTCTGTTCTCCACAGATCTGATAGATAAACTATTCCTTGTTCTCCCAGTTTACTTATGGTATCAGCTTTTATATCTAAGTCCTGAACCCATTTTGACTTTATTTTGGTATATGGTGTGAGATTTGGGTCTATGCCTAGTTTCTGCCATACTCTTTTCCAGTTTTCCCAGCAGTTTTTTTTTTTAAAGAGTGGGTTCTTATCCCAGAAGCTGGGGTCTTTGGGTTTCTCAAATAATAGATTACTATAGTCATTGACTACTGTGTCTTGCATATTTAACCTATTCCACTGATCCACCTCCCTATTTCTTACCAGTACCAAGCAGTTTTGATGATTGCTGCTTTATAATACAATTTAAGATCTGGAATTGCTAGGCCACCTTCCCCTGCATTTCTTTTCATTAGTTCCTTTGATATTCTGGACCTTTTCTTTTCCCAAATGAATCTTGTTATTAATTTTTCTAACTCTATACAATAATTTTTTGGTAGTTTGATTGGTATGGCACTGAATAAGTAAATAAGTTGTTGAATTTTTTCCTTATTCTCTTCCATCACTCTCATTTATTTTCCTAAATTTTCTTCTTTCTTTTTCTTTCACATGGTCATCCATATTTTTTGGGGGGGGATAGTATGTAGTGCTTTTATTTTTTTAATTAATCAATTAATTTTTAGTTTTCAATATTCACTTCCACAAGGTTTTGAGTTCCAAATTTTCTCCCCATCTCATCCCTTCCCCCACCCCAAGACTGCATGCATTCTGAATGCCCCTAATTTGCCCTCCTTTTTATCTCTCCCCCCCTTCTCTTATCCCCTTCCCCTTCAATTTTCCTGTAGAGCAGGATAGATATTTATACCCCATTTCTTGTATATCTTATTTCCCAGTTGCATGTGAAAACATTTTCTTTTTTACTTTCATTTTAAAATTTTGGGTTCCAAATTTTCTCCCTTCCTCCCTCCCAACCACCCTTCCCTGTCACCATAATAACCTTGTATGGTCAAATTTTTTTTTCGGTCTTTCATTCATTTTGGGGGGCTTTTTTCTTTTTTTAAAATTTGAGATCTCTCCCAGGTTTGAACTGTCACCATCTCAGGCTTCTTGTGCCTGTGGTTGGAAGACGT